GCGAGGGCGTCCCCCTGCCCTGCCTCTGCGACGGCGCCCGCGACTGCAAGGACAAGTCGGACGAGGCCGACTGCCGTAAGCCCCCTCCAATTCGCCCAGCCCCGCCCAGGGACTGCGGATCTGGCCGCCAGTCCGCCAGGAGCAGGCTTCCTTTCGCCTTCTCCTGAATGTCTTACCCTGGTTTACTACGGAGGAGGAGACCGAGGTTGGGAGAAGTGAAGTGGCTTGTTTGAGGTCACGTGGCTACTGAGGGCAGTGGAGCTCAGGTCTAAGAAGCCAGTGCCCTCACCGATAACCTTCCCCTTCCAGGCAGCCACCCACTGGTTCCTGTGCCCAGAGACCTTGTACACGCAGAAACTAGAAACTCCCACCTGCCCTTCCTGCTGGGCCTGCCTATCCTTCAGGCCTGGCCCGGGTTTCTCTGACCACCCCAGCAGGACTGGGACCTGCCGCTGGGCTGCTAAGACCCCCAGCCACCTTCTCTTACAACACATCTCACACTGCCAGGAGCTCCTCTGCCCAGGCCTCAGCCCCCCTGCACCCTGTGATTCTAGAAGATCAGAAGGCTTTTTGTCTCTGGACTGTCCACTCCCCACCCCTGCACCCCATCTGGCTCAGGAAGGGTTTGCCAAGTGGATGAGGTCCTCAGCAATGAGTACCAAGACTCGAAAGAAGGCATTGTGTCTGTTTTGGAGTGGCCCCAGGGACAAGTGATGGGTGGGGAAGCAGGAGACCTGAGTTTTAGTCCTGGCTCTGCCAGCCAGAGTGCTGTGTGACCCTGGGCAAGGCCTTCCCCCTCTCTGAGCTTCAGTCTCCCCATCTGTACACTGGAGGTGCGTTGACAGGTGTCCTCTGAGGACTCCTAAGCTCTGCCGCTGGTTCTGTTCTTGCCAGGGGTGGCTAAGGCATGAGGGTGGAGAGGAGAGCTGTCCTCGTGCCATACTAATCCTCACCTTCCCTTGTCCTCCCCCGGCAGCATCGGGTACCTGCCGCGGGGATGAGTTCCAGTGTGGGGACGGGACTTGTGTTCTTGCCATCAAGCGCTGCAACCAGGAACAGGACTGTCCAGACGGGAGTGACGAAGCTGGCTGTCTCCAGGGTGCGTGTGGTCATCGAGGGGACAGCATCCTCCGTGAGGAAAAGCCCTGCACTGTCTCCTGGCTCTGGAGAGAACAGCCAGGAGAGGGCGCCCTTTGGTCTCTGCGATACATTGTCCCCCAGAGCGTCATCTGCCCCTAAATCACCTTGTTCTCCTCCCATGGGGTCCTAGTACCACCAGAAATGAATTTTAAGGATTTCATAAAAGCTGGAAGCAGCCTTGGGGGACATGAAAGGACACTCCAGGAAGTCTTCCAACATTTGTCCAGGACACCCAGTGGCTTCCTTCGCTAGTTCCCAGACTAAACAAGTTGACTCCTGCTCCACAGGGGCTCCCTTGATTCTCAGATGGCCCTTTTGGCCACCACCTCCCACTGCAGGAGCAGGGAGTCTTACCCACTGGTCATCTTGGGGCATAGAAAGGTTGGGCAGTGAGACAGCCTCCCCTACCCAGGGTCCGCAGGGCAAAGTCCCCTCCCAGGAGATGGTCAGTCCAACCTCTAAGACCTTTCTAGAGCTACAGAATATTCCCTTCCAGGTCCCAGGCACTGTCAGATCAGATCATAGCCACCTGTATGGCCCTGCCCAGCTCGGTGAGACTTGGCTTCCTGGTCATCCCTGGAATCCTGTCTGTGAGCAGAATGTCCATGGGCCCTGCATTCAGCTTTCTGTCTTGGGCCACTCTAGAGACCTGGGGGCTAGGGCTGGAACAGGGGCTCAGCCTGTCTCCTGTGGGCCCTGGCACAGCTCAGCCCTTCCTGCCCAAGGTCTCACAGTCGTTGTTCACTTTTTCATCTGGCCTGACAGAGTCAACTTGTGAGGGTCCCCGCAGATTTCAATGTAAGAGTGGCGAGTGCGTGGACGGCGGGAAAGTGTGTGATGCTCAGAGGGACTGCCGGGACTGGTCGGATGAGCTTCTGAAAGGGTGTGGTACAGTACTGTCTACGTCCAACAGCTGGACTAACCCTCCCGCCACGCCCCCTCCTAGCTCCTGGGCACAAGGCCCTCGCATGCCCCCCTGCCCTCATACTTTCTGCTCTGACCCTCTTTCTGGACTCATGCACTCGGTGGCCTCACATGGGACTTCTGCCCTTTGGGCCTCTTTTTCTGCATCTCCTCAAAACTCTAAAGTATTTCCTTTCCAGCCTAGCTGCTCAAAAGTGATCTTTCCTCTCACAAACTTGGCTTATCCTCCTGATGTCCTCCACCTTCAGACCTCGGAGAGTGTGCTTTCTGGAATCTTCTCTCTTACTGGGTGTTCTTACCTTGCTGACTTAGCCCAGGCCCTGGCCTCTGAAGCCTTCCAGCCCCCTGCAGGAGAACCCTGCAAGAAAGAGGTGGATAACAGCAGGCACACCCCAGGGCCACTGCGCAGTCCAGGCCTGAGTGGGAATAGGTCAGACGCAGCAGCGGGAGGTGGCTCCAGGCTTGCAGGCTGGACTAGCATGAAGAAGGGGAGGAAGCAACTGCCATGATGGCTACAGATCCAGGGTGGGTTCCAGCATAGAAAGAACAGAGGATCTGGGTTGGAGGTGGGGTGGACATTCCAGAGAAACCCAGCATGGGCTCTTGGAAGGTTCCTGTGTCATTTCCCTGCTTATCCCAGAAGGTCTGGGGTCAAGGGGGATTTGGATAGCAAAGCCCTGGCAGGACAGAGTTGTGGTCAGCCACTGACAGACCTTTTCCCTGCTTTCCCCAGCAGCTCCCCTCCTGGGCACTCAGAAGAGCTTCATTCTCTAGAGCTCCCAGGAACAGCATGGTCCCTCTTCTTTTGAAGATCAAAAATAAATAAATGGGTAGATAAATAAAATAGATAAATACATTTCTCTCTGGGGAAACAAGAGTAGCTGAGTGAAGGCCACTTGGTCTACCTGGCCTTGCAGAAGACCACCTCCAGGCCCTGCAAGAGAAGTCCCAGAGGAAAGACCCTGGAAAAGGGAAGTAGGAAGAACTGGGCCCAGCTCTCCCCACCACCCAGATGTGGAGTTAGCCAGGACTACTAACCTTCTAAACTCTCTCTCCTCTCTTGTCTTCTGCATGACACCCCAAGAGGTGTGTACGTATGTGCGTCCATGTGAGTCCTCTCTGTCTGTGCTGGTGAGAGGCCAGTGGCTATGCCCTTGTCTCCTCTGGGTCGGGCAGGGTGCCTGCATCCATGCAGCTCCGGGTGTGTTCCTGTGTCCGTGTGAATGTGTCTGTGGAGCCCACGGGCCTGTCTGTGCCTCTGCATGTAAGCTGACGTGTGTGTGCATGCAGGGTGTGTGCATGCAGGTATGTGCACGTGCCGGGGAAAGTGACACTGTTCCCTTTCATGGAAGGAAGCCTCAGGTGCTCTTCAGGCCTCTCTGGACCATCTTCTCCGTCCCTTCCTCTCTCGGCTCCCCAGCAGAACTGCCTCCAGGCTGGAGACAGTTAGGGAGGACCAGAGGCCTTCTAGGGAAGGGCTGACAGGGATAGACAGGTCCAGACCTGCTGTCCTTTCCTTCTGACCTGCCTCAGCCCAGTGCCTTCTTCAGTCATAAGCCAGGGTCCCTTTGAGCACTCCCCTTTCCCCTTTCAGAGCTGTCCTACACATGACCCTCCAGCGAGTGCTCAGTAAGTAGAGTCGCCGAGTTGCTGCTCTGCCGACGGAGAGGAAGGAAGCGAGTGGATGCGTGAACGAGGCAGTGGGTGGATGGGAGAACAAATGAGTGGACGGAGCCCAGGGACCAGCACGGCACAAGAGAGGTCAGGGAGGGCTTGGAGTGCCAGAGAGATTCCTGGAGGTGGTACTTCCCCAACGGACTACTCCAAAGCTACCGTGGCTCAGCCTAGCTGGAGTCCAGGGCTTCCCAAGGCTGGACCTGGCTGAGTCACCTCCAAGTCCAGGCCCCCCCAAGTCATGGAATTGCTGTGGTCTTGTTCTTTCAGTTCTGCCAACATTCCGGGGAAACAGGAGGAGGCCCAGGGGTAAAGGGGACATTCCCTACGCATGGCTTAGGCTGGAGGTGGGGCGCCCCAAGCTGTGCATGGCCCCACGTGGGCAGCTCAGACCAGCTGTGTGCATGGGCTCGGCTCAGCTCTGCTCTGCTTGGCTTGGCTGGAGCGGCGGTGCATGAGCCTGGTGGGCAGGGGGTGGTGGGTACCTTCCCTTGGCTTGCCAATTTAATCTGCTGTGATTCTAAAGCACAGAAGATGCTGCGAGAACTTGTGAGCCTTGGTCCTGGACTCCCTGACTCCCCTAAGACCCTGCGAGAAGGTGGTGAGGGAGTGGAGGAGGGGGGAACCAGAACCAGATGACCTCCTGGCCTCCCCCTTGCAGCAGCTGGTAGTCCTGGGGCCAGGCTTGTGGTAGCTGGAAGAACAGGGACAGGTGCTGAAAGCACCCATCGTAGTTGACAGTAGGAGAGAACTGCCTTAGCAACAGCTGCACGTAGAGAAGGGCCCGGATCTTAGAGACCCACGAGTGCAGCCGAGGGCGTCCTGTGGGTGCAGACTCCTGGGTGGCCACTCCTAGCCCTATCCAGAGAGGGGCATAGACAGATGCAGTGTGTCCGGGGAAGGGTACCTGAACGACAGCAGGCCGGAAGTCAGTGCGTTAAGGAGGTTCTTAGGAGACTGCACCCTGGCCTGCCCCACACAAGGAGCTGGGGGTGGGAGCAGAAGCTACAGGGGGCAGATCCTGCAAGGAGGAACATCCTAGTGGCCAGAGTTGTTCCAAAGTGGATCTCCTGTCTCTGGAGCCAAGTGGGCTCCCTGAGGCTGGAGATGCTTGAGCAGGGGCATTTCAGAAGGGACTCTTAGGGTACCCCAAGGATTGGATGAAGGCCCCTTCAACTCAGGTTACAGGGAGGAGGGAGTGTAAGAAACAAGCTTGTGAAAGGAAAGACCTTAGGCCTCCAGGCAAGGCCTTGCCAATTCAGGCCAGGGGGTCCACAGAGCCGTGGCCTGAGGCCAGGGACCTGAGTTCGGGTTCCCCTGTCCCTGTCCCTGTCCAGCCTTGAGAAAGGGCTGAACCTCTTCTTACCCAGTCCCTGTTAATGAGGCAGAGGCTCAGTGAGGCCACAGAGCCCTCCAGTCGGGAGTCCTGCTGCCCCAAGGCTTTTCTTCTGCTCTTGCCCCTGCGCAGCCCCTGCCTTGCCCCTCCCCTGCCCTGCCCCACCCCTTCTGGGCTCCTAGGCCCTCAGGAGCCTGCCTCCCTCCCCAGGGCTGAACGAGTGTCTGCACAACAATGGCGGCTGTTCCCACATCTGCACTGACCTCAAAATCGGCTTTGAGTGCACATGCCCAGCAGGCTTCCGGCTCCTGGACCAGAAGACCTGTGGCGGTGAGGCCTTTCCCCCACCCCGCCAAGCAGAGGCACACCCTCCTACCAGGTCTGACCCCTGCTCCTCCCCGCAGACATCGACGAGTGTGAAGACCCAGACGCCTGCAGCCAGATCTGTGTCAATTACAAGGGCTACTTTAAGTGTGAGTGCTACCCGGGCTACGAGATGGACACGGTGACCAAGAACTGCAAGGCTGTTGGTATGGACACCCCGAAGGCAGAGGGACAGCTCTGAGGGGGTACAGGAAGCAGCGTGCTTCCACATGTGTGGGGAGTGGATAGGCACACACACAGAAAGCAGGGACATGCTGAGTGTGACTGCATCACATCACAACCTGTGACTGACACCCACGCAGTCACTGCATAGAGCCACCCAGTACAGCCCACGGTGGGCAACCCACACGGCACAACGCACAGACACACACTCGGACACAGGCTGCACACGCAGCGTGGGCAGCTCACACAGCGTGGCGTGTCCAGGTACACGCCGGATAACTCGGCCAACTGGATAAATGAGTTTTACTCCATTTTTCGTGGCGCACACCTCACATTGCAAACACTAGGGATTCAGCAGTAAGCCAACCAGACACAAATCCCCGTCGGCAGTCCCAGGACTGAGATTCTGTGTGGGCAAGAGAGACAAGAAATCAGATACGTAAACTACAGCGCGTAGCAGGTAGCAGCGAGGGTTTAAGGAGACATACGAAGTCGGGACTGGGGTAGGGAAGTCCAGGAGGGCAGTGGGTTGGTTTTGGGTAGGACGGTCAGGGAAGCCCTCACTGAGGTGACACCTGAGTGCAGACCCGAGCAGGGAGGAAAGGAGCTATGCCGTCATCTGCAGGAACAGCATGTCGAGATGAAGGAACAGGAAGTGTGAAATATCTGAGGCAGGAGTGTGCCTGGCGCATGCAGGGAACAGCAAGGAAGCTGGTGCCATTGGAGTGAGGAGACTAGGAAGAGAAGTCAGAGAGGTGACTGGGGCAGGTCCCAAAGCCCCTTCTAGACGCTGTAAGGGCTGACTGGAATGTCATCTCAGTCGGGGGAAAGCAGTTGAGTGCTCTGAGTAGAAGAGGGACATGGTGTGTGTCCCCCCTCCCCCGCCTTTTTCTTGGAAAGGTTTTTGCCTTAGAGTGCATGTTCCCTTCGGAGAGAGAGAGACAGAGACAGCTAGAGGGAAAGTGAGAAATCATACCCCTGGGGGGATGGCCACACTGCAGTCCCCTCTCCTCCATTCTTCTTCCGAAATCTTGGGCATGCATGCACACACATGTTCCAGTGTGACTTTCAAGCCACCAGATCCAGGACTCGAGCCATGGTTCACCATGTGGGAGTCCAGTTAGGTAACCATTACACCATCTCCTGGTCCCATGGTGTGCCTTTGGACAGGCTCCCTCTGGCTGCAGTGTTGAGAACAGCATGCAGAGGGCCTGGGAAGAAACAGGGAAAGCACCTCCGTTACTGCAGTAATCCAGAAGAGAGGTGTGGGGGCTTGGGCCAGGGGTCTGCTGTGGGGGTCAGGAAGAGTGGACAGACTGGGTATATTCTGAAGGCCAGCCAGCAGAATTTGCTCATGGATAGAGTGTGGGATGTGAGGGAAGAAAAAGTCAGGTAGGATGCCGAGGTTTTCAGTCAGCCAACTGAAAAACCAGGATGGCTGTCACGGACTCGTGAAGGGTAGTAAGAGAACAACTTTGGAGGAGTGGAAGACTCTTCGGGGCACGTTACGTCTGAGAAAACTATTCAGATCTATCCAGACGGAGGTGTTGGGTAGGCAACTGACCACATGAGCCTGGAGTTTATATGTACAAATACAATACACAACATATAGATTAAACAGTACAGCAACCGCAACACGTAACAGGTAGACCAGTAGCCCAAAAATATACCACATGAGCTGTTCAATAAATGCATATGTCAGCACAGCACGTTAACCTGTCCTTGTCCCCACACAGTTCACTTGTAATACACAACACATACACTTGCAGTGGAGAAAACACACAGTCATGCATGTATACACAAAACCCACACATGACAAAGTACGGTTACATGAAAACCCAAATCATAAACACGTGGGGTCCTGGTCACAGTCATAGCTGTGAATAGAAATCACCTCGAGGGCCAGCTGGTGGAGCGGTGGATCAGGCACCTGATTCCCACTTGGCTGACCACAGTTTGAGCCTCGAATCCAGTGGATTGAAAATCACGCCGGTGTGTGTGCATGTGTGCCCAAAATCCAGAGAGGAGAATGGAGGAGAAGGGATTGTGGCATTACCATCCCCCCGGGGGTGATTTCTCACTTTCCCCTCTCTGGCTAGTGTATGCACCCTAGAAAGAAAGGGAAAAAAAAAAAAAGGAAATCACCTCAAGATGCACTCTAACCTAGCTCCTGCCCTCAGGGAGGTGAGGTGTCCTTGCCCTCACTTTGGAGTGAGGAAAGCCAGCCTTCCTCCTTCCCCATCCACGCTCCGAGCCCTGTGTTGTGTGCTGTCTACATCACAGTGGTTCTCACCCGTCCTTTCTTGGGAATAGTCTTTATCACTTCACACAGGTCACAGCCCCAGGCCCTGCATGGCTCTTGACGGTCCTACCCTATCCCTGAGGAGCACATTATCCTGGCAGAGATGTAGTGACAGGGACCAGGTGGCCAGCAGAAAACAAGTGGGAAAAGGCCCTGGCAGCTCCAGGCACAGGTGTAGCTAAGAGCTGCCACTCATACAATGTTGGTGCCTGATTGGTGGCCCGGTCCATCTAAAAATAGCCGACGGGAGTCAGTGCTAGGCCCTCATTGGCCTGTGGGACAGTGACGTTCACATGGAGGATCCAGAAACGTCTAGGTCACTGATGAGCTCCCTAAAATGGAACCTAAGTCCAAAAGTGGCTTTGTGTATACCGGGCAGTTGTGTGTTGCACATAGAGTCGGTGTTGTGTATCACGTGCACCCCATCTCTGCTGTTGGTTCAGGGAAAGGAGCAAACTCATCACCCTGCTCAGAGGACCCTTGGTGATCGGCCCCTGCTCATCTCAGCTTCATCTATTGCCATGTTCCTAGACACGCGGCATCAACATCAACAACCTCCTTAGGACCCCCCTCCCTAAGTCTCAGCCCTGATGTCTGTCTCCATACTGAGCCGTCTAAGACACGCTCAGATGGCCCCTCTTGACTATGGCAGTGAGGCCCCAAGTGGAGAAGGGCATGGTGATTGCTGGGAAGAAATGCATTCTAGGCAGAGGGGACAACGTGAGCAAAGGCTCCAAGGCAGCTGAGCCCTGCCAAGGCAAGGTGATGACGGGCAATCCAGCAAACTGGAATCAAGTGTGTTAGAGGGGTGACTGAGAAGGCTGGACAGGGAGCTTGGGAAGACCTTCATAGCAGGCCCAAGGAAGTGGGGAGTCAAAAGACTGGGGAGGGAGTCAGCAGGTGGCGTAGTGGTTAAGGCACTGGACTCCCACACGGTTGACTGATTTGAATCCCAGACATGGTGGCATGAAACTCACAGTGGGCACATGTGCATGTGTGTCCCGAATCCCAAGAGGAGAATGGAGAAGGGACTGCAGTGTGGCCATCCCCCCAGGGGTAATTTCTC